TTACATAAAGGAGTTGTTTTGTATAAACTTTACAATCTCAAACCCTAACATCAAAGGTCTCACGGAAAGTTGAAGCTGTTGGAAATTCCTTGTGGAAAGAAGAGCAAATCTACATGGATTTCATCACTAATCTGCCAATGATGGCATGTAGAGTGGATTCCATTTGGTTCATTGTGGATAGATTGACAAAGAGTGCTCACTGTATCCCTATCCAAGAGAGTATTTATGTTGAGAAGCTAGCAGATATTTACATTAGGAAGGTAGTTGCATGATACAAAGTGTCTCTTTTAGTAATTTTTGACCGAGATGTTTGCTTCACTTCCAGGTTGTGGAAGACGTTTCACAAGGACTTAGGTACTCAACTACATTTCAGTATGGCTAATCACCCTCGGATAGAAGCCCAGAGCGAGAGGACTGTTTAGACACTTGAGGACACTCTTAGATCTTGCATAATAGATTTTGGTGGGAGCTAGGATACTTATCTTCCTTTGGCAAAGTTCTAGCATAACAAAAATTATCATTCTGGTATTGATTAACCTCCTTTGAGATGCTCTACGAGAGGAAGTGTCGGACCCCGATTAGTTGGGGCGAGGTCGGATAATGAGTGATAGGGAATACCGAGGTAGGACTAAAGACTACTTAGTTGATTAAGAAGGTACGAGGTAGGTTGTAGATCACACATAGTTGCTAGAAGAGTTATGTTGATGGGCGATGTTTCGATCCTGAGTTCAGGTTAGATATTTCGTGTTTATGAAGGTGTTGCATTGGAAAGGAGTCATCTGGTTTTGCAAGCGGGGCAAGTTGGGCCACAGATTCATTAGCCCATTCAGAGTTATCACCTAAGTGCGCAAGGTTATGTATCGAATGGATCTACCCGCCGAAATTAGTCAGATTCACATCATATTTATGTCTATTAGTTGTAGAAGTGTTTGGCGGATGATTACATAATGGTTTACTTGGATGACATTCAGGTTGATGAGCACCTAAATTATATAAAGAGAGACAAGTCGCGATTCTTGACAAGAAGACAAAGACCTTGCACAACAAGGTAGTGGTTTTGGTGAAAGTGCAATGGAAACATTATAAGGGTTCTGAATGGACTTGGGAACCTAATCGTGGATGAGATGGGGGAGCATTACCCATAGTTATTTATAGCAGCGGATTTCGAGGACGAAATTCGATTCAAGTGGGGGAGAGTTGTAACATATGTTTTCCATGTATACTTCTTCTGAGTATATTTTTTTTCAAATATAAGTTTTCGGATTTTGTCTTGGCCACGACGTGGTCACGCGGTGACCACGACATGGAATTTTGAGTTCAATTAACGCGCATTTACAAGGCACCACAATGTGGAAAGGCATTCACCACGAATTGGTGACGACTAGGGTTTAAAACCCTAAATTTTAGGATTCGTTCCCTATTTAAAGGCACTAAGTCTTATGGTTGCCTCATTTGGTAGCCACCTTTCTATGATATCGATTCGCATCCAAACCTTAGCCTTTATATGTGTGTTTTGAGTTTTGAAGCCACTTTTGTAAAGTTTGAAGGAAGATGGAGTCCACCTTGTTTCTTTTGTGCATGGTTCCAGCTTAGATCCAACACCTTCACCATATTTATGGCCTTTTGGGGGTATAAAGTCTTAAACTTGCTCTTTACTTCCTAGATCTTGTTCTAGGCCATTTAATGAGCTTTTTGGTCCCAATCTTCTTATCCTTGGAGTTTAGATAAGCTCAAAATCCTTTGACTACATTATTTGCCTTCTAGACCGTGGTGTTGGTTCGAAAGTGCTCTTTCATGACTTAGTGTGGTGCCCATGCTTTTACTGCAACCATTAAGAACTTAGATTTAAACATCTTGACTTATTGGGGTGTCTTAATGTATAAATTTGGAAACTTTATCCATCAAAACCTTAAGGAGGTTCAGATCTGAGCTTTGAAGCTCTTAAGATTGGGGGTTAAGAGCTTGTTCTTATAAGTTTTCCATGTGTAGTTTCCACGACGCGTTGGCATTCTTTCAACGACATGGTGGTTGGTCAGGTCGTTACTGTCTTGTCATGAAGTTGCCACAACGTGGCCAACGAATGGCCACAACGTGGAGATCAACTGAGGGTTGACTTTGACCCTTGACTTTATTTTAGTAAGTTGACTTTTGGGCAAATATCTAGTTTTAGTGTGTAGACTAAGTTTTGACCTTGGGTGTTTCTGTAGGTGGGTTATAACACTAGTTTCTCGATTATACGAGTTATGGTATAATCAATTCGAGTATGAGATGAGTTTTCTCACTGTATTGTGTAGGATGTTAGATTATCTTTGTGATTCTTGCATTAATGTTGGGCAGAGCACATTATGTATGTTGGATTGGTCCCAATATATGATTTGGATGGGACCTGTTATACTCTTGGGTGGGGCCGACTATGTTTGTGGGCATGGTTGGATGTATTATTATGTGTTACTTTGAAGAACACATTAAGTTTTATGCTTACAATTTTATGTTTAAATGTTTCAGCTACTTCTGGTTCAAAAGGGAAGGATCCGACATAATCGCACAACATCTCCTGGAATTTTATTCTACACTATATTTTATGATTTTCTCTGATGATGGAGAACACATTACACTCTAACTATCTTATGAACAAATAAATAAATGTTTTGGTTGTTTAAAAATGAAATTTTTACTTGGTATTTTTGGAATGTTACATAAGTTACATAGTTTTTGAGCATCTTGAAACACTTTCAAATATTTCTTTACTGTTAAGCAACTAAAACACTAACTTTCTTCCAATAACATATCTTGGATTTTGAACGCTTTATTCATCAAATTCTTTACAATCAACATTTACAATTATTCACTAATCCTAAGATCTTGGGTGAGCTTAAGATCTTAAGGATTTCTCATAATCTTAAACATTTAACAATTTTCTTTAATAAAAACATCACACCATACTTCATAATTTAGTTATGAAAATAGTTTATTGATTTTTGACCAAAACAACAGTGTACATGATTATGAATATCATAACTTAGATGATTAGGGTTGCCAAACACATGGAGAACGGAGATTTACTACCATTGTTAAATCTAATTATTAGTTAACATCAAAAGAAAACTTATAAATGAGAGTTTATGCAGTAAAATAAACTAACAAATAAATAAACAAACATCAGTAATTGTATGGAAATAGATATGAAGGTATTCATATTTGGATTTAAAAATTTTCTATTATACTGATGACTTTTATAAATTCCATTTATTGAAATAAATAAGAAACTTTATAAATTTTATAATATGAAGTAACAACAAAAACAAAACTTATTTAGTATGAAACTAGTTGTGATACCCATTTATTATATTAGGTTATTTAAAAAATAAACAAACATGAAGATCTAACAATTTAGAAAATTTAAATTTATAAGAAAAAAATAAATTATTAATTATTAAATTGAAATGCTTATTTATCTATTAAATTTAAACTAGGAAATTAAATAAAAAACAATTAAAATAATTGGATTCAATTTAGAAGTTTAGAAGTTATAAGAAAAGTTGTATTAATGAATTGGATATACATTACATTTACTATTACATTTAAGTATTATATGAAATTTAATAAAATAGGAAAAAAAAAACCACAAAATGATACATGAATATATTTTAATCTAAATATACCATAAAATGACACGTGATATAATGCATAGAGGATGACAAGTAATAAAATTATTTTTATTTATTAAGGAAGAAGTTATACCAATTATTGATACTATAATATTTTGTATTATGGTCGTTAATTTGTGCATCTGTAACTAAATCGATGTCACAAATTAAAAACATAAGGTACAACTAAATAAACGAATTACATAAAGTAAAATTGGTTAGTAAAGTGCACCTTAATTTTGTTTACGAGTAAATTTTAAAGAAAATTACAAATTTGGCAAAAATATGTTAATTACTTTATAGAAAATAACAAAAAAAAAAATATCAAATTACATTTTTAGCCACCAAAATCAGATATGGATTAAGTCCATCTGCGATTTTGGTAACCCATCTGCGAACATACAATTCGTTAAAGCACAAACATTCTTTAGCGACTTGTACATTCGCAAATGAACTAATCCATCTGTGAACATAGGAACCCATCTGTAAACATAGGTGTGGCTAGTATAAAAATGAATGTTTTTTTGTTTCATTTTCACTCTTTTTTATTGGAAAATTCTCTCTGAAAATTTTGATTATGTTTAAAACTTCAACTTTATATTTGTTTAGTTGTTATAATGATTGAAGTTTCTAATTACTTAACATTAGTCTCTTTTATCCTTTAATTATTCTTGGTCGTTTAAATTGTTTTAGAAATTAATTTAGCATTAATATGTTTTAAAGATATAATTGTTACTTGTTTAGGTGCTATTAGAATTTAAAGACTTAATTAACACCAGCCGGTTGATCGAGAAATCCATATAAACCAACAACAAATTATGATTATGCGGGATTTTACATAACATAAATTCTTTATATGGGTTATATGTATAATTGGGAGAGTAGATATCAATTAGAAAAGAGTGCAAATGGTGTTTAGCTTAAAATTTTAAAAAGACAAAACTTCAAAAATGGTCCATGTGGTTTTCAAAAATATCAAGTGTAGTCCTTAAGTTCAAAAACCCTCACAAATAGTCCCTGTGGTTTCGAAACTTTTAACAAATAGTCCTTTTCGCTAACTCCGTTAGCTTTTGGACGTTAAGTGAAGGGTATTTCCGTCATTTCACAAAAGATTGACCATTTATAAAGTTTTTTGTTATTTTTTAAAAAATATAATTTATTTAATAAAGGGTCCCCCCCCCCTCTCTCTCTCTCTCATAAGTATAAGAATATATCTCGAAGTGTCGCCGTCTCCCATTTGATCACCGCCACAACCAATTGAATCTATCCCTCTCCGTCCAGCACCAGCAAAGCTAATCGAGAACCACCACAACGTACCAACCTACATCCCCAAAAACCTTTTTACTCGACCAAATGTTGTCGGCGTCTCATTTCGTATCTCATGGCATCCCTGGTAAGGTTCTTGATGTCAAAGTAGTACTTTCTGAACACAAAATCGATGTTCAAGAAGAAACCCAGACTTTTCAAGACACAATAGACAAGGGTATTCAAGAAACAAGAACAGGAATACTGAAGACCGAGATGGAATCGATGGATTCAAAGATTTTAAACCATTCACTTCAAAAAACGGACCCTCATTCCTTTCAACCTCTTCATCTCCTTCCCCCAAATTCCATTCGACTGCAACTCCTGGACCAAGGGAAAGTGAAATTGTGGAAATTTTCAGAAAAGTCCGAGCCTAACTTCGGGAATGAGCTGCAAAAAAAAAGCCCATTCTTTAGTGACCACTGGAAATAGTACACCCATAGAGCTTCGGGAAGCTTCAAAAGGCAGCACTAAAATCCTAATGGGGACTACCAGCACCTCCGATCCCCTGCTTTGCCTAAGGGCATTTTCGTGATTTGTAACTCCACCATTAGCAGGAGCTGCTGTTGCTGAGCGCTCTCCACCACCATTTGTTTCCCTCATCACTAAACCTAAAGAAAGGGCATATAAGAAGTTAATGGAATGGAAATCCATTAAAATCAAAATGTGAGGTCCTACCCTTTTTATGACACTCGATCTGGATTTGACATGTTGACGAAAGAAGGAAGGAGATTGTCTAAGAGTAAAGATCCACCTTCAGGCTATGATGAGGGAGGAAGAGAAGGATGAGATGGGGATCAGAGTGTTTACCAGAGGAACCGGTGGTAGAATTTGGTGGTGACGAAGGCGAAAATCAAACATATTTGATCGATGGAAGAGTATGGAATGATAGGGCATTACGAGTGAAAAACATTTGTATTTTCAAATTGGGGTAGGAAGTTCTGAGATTCTCCAAAACCCTAGCGATCAGAGTGGTTTTACCTACACCTGAGTCGAAGGTATACAAAGGCGATTTAAAACAAATTCAGATTCAAAACAAATTCATGAAGATATGAAATAAAATAATGAATGAGACATGGAATCTAATACAACTTACAGGGGACCCAGTGATGAGAAAGAATTTTATACAGCTTACAGGAGAGAGAGAGAGAGAGAGGTGGGACCCTTGCATATTAAATTTTATTTATTTATTTTAAAAAAAAGTAATACAAAACCTTATAAATAGTCCATGGGCTGTGAAATGACAAAAATACCCCTTACTTAACGGCTAAATGGTAACGGAGTTAGCCGGAATGACCAAATGTTAAAAGTTTTGAAACCACAGGGACCATCTGTGAGGTTTTTTGAACTTAGGGATTAAACTTGATATATTCGAAAACCACAGGGACCATTTTTGAAGTTTTATCTTTTAAAAATAATATACTTGGTGCGTATAACTTGTTGATAATAAGGTTGTTTCGTTATTGAACCCTATCAATTTCGTAGTCAAAAAAAAAAATCGATGTTGAAATGGAGAGGAAATCGCATATGGGCTTAGTCCATCTGCGTTTTTAAGAGGGCGAAGGAGGTATTTACCTAGCAAGCAAAAAAATTGTACGTTCACAGATGGGTTTTCAAAATCACAGATGAGCTTAATTCATATGCGATTTTGATGGCTAAAAATGGAATTTGGGTTTTTTTTGTTGTTTTCGACAAAATAATTAACATATTTGGCAAAATTTATAATTTTCTCTAAATTTTATTAGGTTTATATGATATAAATCCTTCTCTATTTATCCCAAATAATTTTCATAGGTTATTTGAAGTTAAAATATCTAATTAGAAAATTTTATTAGTTTTATATGAAATTTAATCCACTCAAAGTATTTACAAATAAATATAAGCGAAAAGTTTAGAGTCCTGTATGGAGTAAAACATGGGTGTTTAATTATGGCATGTGGGTAACTAAGAAACATATGAACATGTTTACTGATGTCACAACTTGACGTGAGAATCTATTCACATAATAACATTTCCTTTTGTTTTAGTTAATTTTTAAAACAAAATGTTTAACATTCCATTGATCATTTATAATATAAATTCTTCTAATTTTAACAGAAAAGTGCATATCAATAGTTTTTAAATAAAATACGGTCATCAATTATTCAAAATGGGAAGAAGATTGACGAAACATGATTAGATTATCAACGTATTAATTAAGTTTGTCATTTCACGTGAAAATTCAATAGCTTCGATTATTTCCTTTTAGGGTTTTTATGTAGGCCATGAACACCCATGTGAGTCCATGTGCAGTGTCTTTTATTTTATTTATTTTGAATATATAATGCCTTAACTTCAACTCCATTCTCATCCATCTCTCAACTTCTTCATTTTAACACTTTTGTTGGATCCCTCTGCAACTGCAATTAACCATACCTTGCATTTGGCGTTGCATGCAATATAAGATTTGAAGAATTAAAGGTACTTGAATACGAATGAATTGGCTTTTTTTCTTGAGGTTTTAATTCAAAAGTTTCATGTTTATCTTGTTATGAAGAAAGACACTCAAGAAGGTAATTTTATAAACGCGTTGGTTACTTCTCGTGCGAGTATATACCCTGATCTCTCAATATATGAAGTAAATTGTTTTCAGTGTATAACTAAAATGATGTTTGTTGTTATTAATTGTATTGCTGTAATTTCTAGGTTAAGAATGCAATCTTCAAGCTCGCTAAAGAAAGAATTTATGAACAAATGGATAGAGGGATTTCATATGTGTGTTTCTTCAAAAAAGCAAATGAATCTCATGGAGAAAACGAAGAAAATAAAGCTTTCTGCAGATATTGCCATGGCTTCTGCAAAAAGGACAGAAACCTTATGGAGTAATGCACTACTTTCCGACGCTAGGAAAAACGAAAAAGACATGATACTTGTGGAAAAGATGTTAGGTCCTGAATCGCAGTTGAAGCTACTGAAGAGCACAGATAGAATGATCATGAGTTACCATAAGAGGGTTCGATGCAAGAAAATCTTGAAAACAAGTCGTGAAAGTGCTGGTAAAAGAATGAAAAAGGCTATGATGGGGATTCCTCGATCGAATTTGGCTATTATTATTGCAAAAAGATTGGTGAAGAAAAAGACTAAAATGCTTAAAAGACTTGTGCCAGGTGGACAATCCATGGATGAATTCTCCCTCATCAAAGAAGCATTAGACTACATTCTTTCTCTTAAGGTACAGGTTGATGTGATGAGGAGTGTAGTTAATGCAACTCAGGTTTTATGCCATGATAAATTGCTGAAATCAGTTGAATAAAGAAAGCATACATCTTGAAAAAGAAATCATGTACAGGTAGCTAGGTAATACAGCACCTCTAGTTGCTTAATTTCTTTGTGTTCTTTTATTTTTATTTTTTACCATGGTATTCACATATTTCCCCTGATTAAGTAGTCCGTTGCAAAATCTTCCATTCTTATCAACAAGAACAAAAGCACTATATATATATATATATATATATATATATATATATATATTATATATATATATATATATATATATATATATATATATATATATATATATATATATATATATATATATATATATATATATATATATATATATACACTACACACATGGCTCAATTGACAATTGCTTGATGTTTGCACCTTTAGCTTTTGCTTGTTAATTTTTTTATGTAATCACGTTAAACACCATGGCGATTAGTGATCCTTCTTTCCAAAATACAAAGTCCAAGTACATATTAGTACTAGTGCCCAAGGGTTTTTTTTTTTCTTTTTTTAATGGAGTTATAACATGACGTATGCTTATATCTACCCTACTCCTTTGGTTTTTGAGTTTGACATATCAAGAAAAAACAACAAACCTGAAATCATTACAAATGCATATAGCCTATTTGATGATCTCTTTCCTAAAGCCTAAACTGAAGTGTTTTGACTTCCACGATTGGAGTCTTTAAATGTTGGAATTTGTAGACAAAACGTTCACGATCCAATAACCAAACTACGCAAGTGAACCGATACCAACAACTAAATGGATCAAATTAATTGGGCAAAGCATGTAATTCCCATAACAAATACAATGGAAATAAATATAACCATGAACCCACAAGGACGCAAAGAATCAAGTTGTTTCAAACTTAGAAAAATATCGTCATTTTCATTAATTCTCGCTAATTATTATTTATTTTTGTTCTCATACATTGTTTTTCACTCATTTTCATTCTAACATAATACGATCCAAATAAAGATTCTGACAGAAATGAGAATAATAATAATAAATGTATAATAACATTATAGATGATTTAATTGGTGAGAATGTGTGTTAATGATAATAATTATGTAAGATTGAATGTATTTATATTATCAAACAACCTATTTTCTTTATCATTCTCATAGCATATGATATCCGCACAATAATTAACTAGAATACTTGAACATCTCTCTCTCTCTCTCTCTCTCTCTCTCTATATATATATATATATATATATATATATATATATATATATATATATATATATATATATAATCAAACACGTTACTATATCTAAGAATTTTTTTTTTCTAAATTGGATTGTGAAAATTGAATCATGGATCATAAAAATGATTCATGCTTCAATCTTAATGATCCAAATTTTTTATCCAATTTTTTTTCTCTCTGATGTAATACTATGCTCGATTTTGAGAGTTATATTTTTTTAAGATATTTTTTTTTCAATTTTTTAAAATGTCCTTACAAGTCCTCACTTTAAAATAGTTATTATCTGATCCTATTTCTCTCTCTCTCTCTCTCTCTCTCTCTCTCTCTCTCTCTCTCTCTCTATATATATATATATATATATATATATATATATATATATATATATATATATATATATATATATATATATATATATATATATATATATATACAGAGAGAGAGGAGTAAATCAATTGAGAAAATAAAAAATATTAAGAATGAGAGAATAATTCTCACCTAATTATTTATTTTTGCTACAAAACACCCCGATGTATCGGGCCGACGAACAATAAGTAATATGCATATATTAATATAAATATAAATGTATTCATATATGAATACACCACCTCCCCCTGCCGCTACTCACCACTACTACTGCCACTGACACCACTTCCACAACCAACCACCAACAACAATCGTCACCTCCACCACATCCTACCGCCGCCATAATCATATATGAATAATCACTTCTGTTATACTTATTCGTATATGAATATACGTATTCGTATATGAATACACTTATATATGAATATGATATGTTCCGTCGGTCCGGTACGTGGGAGCGCTTACGCTGCAGATTCGAAATACGTGGCCAAAATTCATTCCCTCGTTCTTAACTTTTTTTTATTCTAAATTGAACACTTATATATATATATTATATATATATATATATATATATATATATATATATATATATATATATATATATATATATATATATATATATATATATATGGTAAACTTCAATAAGGATCCAAAAAAATTTTAAACATTTTAGAGCTTATTTTGTATCAATAAAAATAACTAAAAGTACAGAATGCCATAAAATTTTATATTTTTTTCAATGATATCAAATTCGATGAAAAAAATTTACTTTTTTTTCGTCAAATTCACATTTTGAATCTGTGCAGATTCACAATGTGAATCTGAATTCACATAGGGAATTAGAAAAATATATAATTTATTTTTTAGCATTCATAATATGAAGTTATGAAATTAGCTATCTTTAATTCTTTTTCGATAAATATTGAAATCTAAAACTTAAAAAAAAAGAAACTTGTTTTTTGATGAATCATTTATCATGATTCTCTATTGAGGTTATTTATATATATATA